TTGACATTAAAACCCGATCCGCTATACTACGCTTTAGGAATTGGTTATACTTGGCCATTTTCTAGGGTGACAGTAGGAGTGAGTCAACAACACATGAGGGAGAGGGAAGGTCAAGATCCTCAAACCTGCTTCCTCCGCGAACTAATTGGGAAGGGGACTCGGGCGGTGAAGCAAAGGTGGAAATTGGCATAAGATCCAGTGAGGAAGAACCATCACTCCCCGTGGAAGAGTCCCAATTCTCGGCACACCCTAATTGAGGAATCCCAGCTTCAAGAGATATTTCAAGAACCCCTGGAGCTGTGGCATAGACTCCTACCATTATCCCTGATGCCGCCAGACTTTCAGCAAAAGAGGACGCCAAGAACGATACACCAGCATACTTCAAAAGGTTGGTGACACTGATATGGATAGTGAACGGATTGTTCGGCCGAGACCAGCCAAGCTCTGATAGGAGAAAAGACGCAGTGCGGGCCAAGAATTCCCATCGATCCAGACCAAAACTAGAGTCTTTCAACCCAGACTCTCGCCCACTATTATGTCTGCTCGTTCCTTTTCCTTTAGGCCCAATTAGACTGAGTTCCGGCCCAATAGCCCTATCATCCGACTTCCAACTTATAGGCCGATTTAAGGGCCCAAATTTCCTCATCCAAATCTTCTTGCCCAGATCCGCTTTTCCCCTTCTCCTTGCCCTACTCAAATCACCCTGAACACCACCATGCAGGCACGACGTGCCCTCGAGAAAAGGAACGGCCGTCTCCCGCACCGGCCGTTTCGCCTTCCTCCTAAAAATTTGCGAGCCACCGCTTCTTTCTTGAGATCCACTCCTATCATGGGTGTCCCCATTACTCTTCAACCCTTTCAGCTCCTTGCCCCTTCTCCCCTGATCCGCCTCTCCCATCCCTCCCAAAGCGGACACCGGCGGCTTCCTCACCTTAACGGTGAACCACTGATCCTCAAAAGCCAATGGAATCTCTTCCGGAATATCTCCATCTGTAGCCACCCTCAAGCGCACATATGAGGAACTCCAAGAATTCCAATCCACCTCCACCAGCCTGCCACAAAACTCCCCTATTGATTTGATTAGATTCACACTTTTGAGATGCAAAGGGATACCGAACACTATAATCCAGCAGGCACCATCTATCAGATTGGTCTCCTCATCGACCTCCTTCCACAAATAGGTCTTGACGATAAAAATTTTATACTGGAAGAAGCCAAGATTCTTAACCCTTGCTAATTCACGTACGCTTGGACAACAGAGTAACCATCCACCATCCTCAAACTCCTCCAAACCGAAATTACAATCAATTGCCCAATACTTTTCTGCCCATCTTCTGAAGTCATGAACATGCTCTTTTGTAAAATACTCGGAAGTTTGCGATTGAAATCTTATAACCAGACATCGCTCTTGTGCAAAGATTTTAAATCCGACCCTGTAACCAAAACTTTTATGCGAATGAATTTTAAGAAACATTGATCTATGCTAAGCAACCTTAATTAATGAGTTGAGCTATAAATCCTAATTTGGTTATATGGACTTTTTATTTGAAACATATTCCCCTATCATTTTAAGGACTATGGAGGATGCCAAACGAACCTTTGCGTCGAGAGAGATCTATACCGCGTTGCACTTTTTCCTAATTCAGCTAACAGTACTTGTTTCCATCGTTCAAGCCAGCTAAAAGACCAAATTCATGTGCTCGAATTCTATCTTTGTTGACATTATCGGTTACAGTTAAAATCAATCTCGCCTCGACTTCAAGAAGTTAAATGTGCGTTTATTGAGTTCAAACACAAGAGCTTCCTCTCCGAAAAGCAGAAATGTAATTGAATATAGTATAATTCGTTTGAACTTTTGATTATATATATCTACACAGTAGGTTTTGCTTGTGTACGTCCTGCAGGAATGGACATGACACCCCATTATCGAACAAAACACAAGTCCAAACATGGCTGTTTTGTCAAATGCAATCAATCTAATCATAAATTAGATAAAATTAAGAATTTCTCTCGTTGTTAATTAACCTTATTTTTACTCAACGTCAAAGATGAAGGTGACAGGCTTCTAGAAGTGCCTCTAATTTCCTCCCGCGCCAAGAAAGCTGGTCAACGTCAGCTACGCGCAACAAAGTACTCTCTGCCTCTGGCGCCAAATTATATATTCGGAGAAGAAAGAAATTTACAATTGCTTATAGTGAAAGGAAAAGATAGAAAGGTCAATTAGGTATATGTGGCTAACGTGATTCGATAATTTGCTTACATTTATAAATTTATGGTGCACCTTTTCATATTGAATTTTTTTTTTTTTTGTTTTAGATATGTGTACACGTACTAAACCGTTACGTTTGATTGTTAGAATGAACTCTATTCGTTTGCATGGATGATCTATATAAATATTTGATCAATCTCATTTGGAATGAAAGCGCGCAATTGGCATGCCCACGTCCTAAGTCCAAAGCAAATTCTACAAGAGGGACTCTAAATGCCCTTGACATTAAACCATAAGTTGATGTCAACTAGAAGACAGTGCATGCGATCTGGTCCAGACTGGACTATATATGTGATCTGAACTTTAGATTGAGAAGTTAGGGTATATAGTACTAAAGACCAAATCAAATACTATAAGGTCTAGAACAGATCACGTATGTGTGGTATGATATGATATACTGTTTGGACCATGTAGAGAATATTGAGCGAAAAATGAACAGTTTGTTTAACTAACCACAAGAAAAACCGACCTAATATCCAACGAAAAATCTATGTTTATTGAAATATAAATTACAGCACGCATGCATAATTTTGATACCATAAATTCCTGTAAATAATAAAAATACAAAACCAGAGCAACCCAACTTACATCGTAACGTCATAAACATTAGCATAATGTCATACGGAGACACGATCGTCTCTAGCTACTATGTGACGAAGTGTGGTTTATAAATGAAGAAAGGGACGAGATTCACAAAATTAGAATTGAGACTTGGGTCTCATTGAGGAGTTGGAAGAGTGGTTGAGTGGGATGCTAACACGAATTGGAAAGTGAGTTTAGTCTTTAAGAGGGTGACAAAATCCATAATTAATCTTCTCTCAACAACTCGAGTTATTGGGACAAATTGGTTCGTGATGTGATATCAAATTCTGGTTCGGCCATGATTTCTTCCGATAAACCACAATCTTGACCATATCAGACCAAGATATCAATACTTCCTACGATACAAAACCATAGGCCGAACCAGACCATTCTCAAAGGTCTATGTTCTATTTTCCCAATCAAAACCAACCGTTCGAATCCAATGGATCAACCAATCGAAGAATTCAAAATCATTTGTCTCCTCTACGAGTCTACGACCAACAAAAAAAAATGATTGTTTATAAATGTGAGCTGAATTTTATTAAAACTCTATTGATTGTTTATATATTTATATCTATTATCACTAATCCCCTTATTTTGTAATGACAAACCTAGCTCCCTTAGTAGTTATTTAGTATAAACCCGTGACATTGCTCCCTTCTATTACAGAAGACTTGTAAAACTATAAGCCTCACGAAGCCATTATTGTACTTCATAATACTACAATCCCTTTTCCGGTTTCCATATTTAGCACCTGATTATATGTCCAATGATACATAATTTGGGGAATGGATCAGGTCAGTAACCTTATGGTGAGTAACCATGAGTAACTCGTCCACATCAGCATGACATCAGCATCCTCTCTCTCATGAAAAGCCTTTAATTTTTCCCTCTTTAATCTTTGACGGATGATTTCTCGCCCATTTTAAGTCGAAATTTAATTTTTTTTGCACAGTTAGATCAGATTAATTGTGCTCTTCAAAATGATATCCACTTTAATATATTTTTCGAACAAAAAAAATTGAGCCATTTTTTACCAGCCTATACCATATGGTATTGACTGGTATTGAAATAAAAGCATACCTATGTTTTGAAAAACGTACCATGGTGGTATGAACAAACCAATACTGTAGGATGGTTGAATACATGATAGTAGAAGTATATTAATTGTAATTTACGACTTTTAACATTGTATACCACACAATACCACCCCGTACCAGGGTGGTATTGTATGGTATTGTGTGGTATTTTTTGGTCCTGTAATTTATTCACCCACAAATTTGTAGATCCAATAGATCATGATGAACTCGTCCCTTCTGTGCAAACGTTTTCAAAAACGAATTAAAAACGAAGAAGATACCATACAATACCACCCCGTACCAGGGTGGTATTGTATGGTATTGTGTGGTATTTTTTTGTCCTGTAATTTGTTCACCCAGAAATTTGTAGATCCAGTAGATCATGATGAACTCATCCCTGCTGTGCAAACGTTTTCAAAAACGAAATAAAACCAAGGAAGATACCATATGGTATGCAGTTGGTACCGAGAGGCCATAATTTTTTTTTCCTAAAAAAATATTGAAAATTGATCTCATTTTGTAGAGCACGGTGAACTCGTTCCATCTGTGCAAAAAAAATTAAAATCCGAGTTAAAACGAAAAAGATATGAGTCAATTAAGAAAGCTAGTGAAAATAAAAATAGCCTTTAATTCTCCATCCTTAGATCTGGATTTTCTAAATGAAGGGTCCAGATTTGGTTATTGATGGGTGCATAACCCATGGTTATGCACCCTATCTTGAGCCCATAATTTGGGTTCGATGCTTTTGTCGCTCTGATATCTAATATGATTACCATTTTCTACAATCTATGGTCCGAACAAAAAATGTACGATTCGCGGTTTAGTTCACGATTTTTCAAACGGTCTGTTTTATTTTCCAATAGCTCTATAACCAACTGATGAGAGTCCAATGAATCAATAAATTGAAGAATTCAAATCATTAACCGAGCATTAGCACCAGAATACTTTTCCGTTTCGGAATGCGCATTCCGATAATGTAAAAATTTTACCCCTCTCTATAAGTAGAAGCGAGCGCCTCTGCCGAGCTCGGCGATTTGGTCGAATCTTTTGCTTAATTTGCTCCGGCCAAGATGAGCGACGATTCAAGATGCTGGGCGGATCTCGATCAGGAGATTCTGAATCTGATCCGACAACGACTGCTCGGAGACGACTACTCGAATTTCAGAGCTACATGTCGCAGTTGGAACTTCAGAGCTGTTTACGATCCCGCCGTTTACGAGAATCTCAAGTACCCATTCTTGTTGCGCTTCACCAAAGGCGGCGAAGAAGACGACAACAACTATTCCTACTCCTCCTGCAACGCTTACTCTCTCGCTTACGACAAGTCGTATTACATCTCAGCACCGCCTGATCTGCTTGATGCCAAGATTATGTGTTCTAATCACGGCTGGCTGTTGGTCGCTAAAGGTCCACGGGTGTTTTTCTACCATCCGTCGATACAACATGTCATCCGCTTGCCGAATATCAAATCTCATCAAGCACAATTTAGTTTCGCGAGCTTTTCCGCTCCGCCTACCTCTCTGGATTGTATGGTTCTCGGCGTCGTGGATTCGAAATCGAGGACAAAACGCGATTCGCTTTCATCCGTCGAGGACAACGTTCTTGGAAGCAGTACTCGTTTTCGAATGCAACCAGGTTGCAACACTACCGCTCTCGAAAAAAGAAGAAGTCGAATAAGATAGATTCAGACGAGGATGAGGATGAGGACGAGGAGGACATTAGGGTTAAACCTAATATCTGGCGGCAGAAAAAATCCTCATTCATTGCGAATTTTTTGTGGTCCGATTCTACTTGTTCCCCGGTTTTCCACAAAGGAGCGTTCTATTGCTTGGCTCAGGATGGCAGGTTGGGCGTGTTTGATCCCACCAAGGAGAAGAAGGGAAACAAGAAGAAGATGTGGAGGCTGCTGCCTCACACAACGAAAAAGCCTCGCGTGTTCATGGACGACGACCCGCGAAAAGACCAGGCGTATCTGCTGGAATGCAACGGAGAACTGATCTCGATCGTGGTCGCCCCCATGGGAGAATTCGTGAGAATTATCCGGTTCTAAGAGCGTACGAAAATGTGGCAGGTTGTTCACAGTCTCGACGATCGAATGGTCTTCTTGAGCCTCACGGGTTGTGTAGCCACAACGACGTGCGACGATGATGCACGAATTCGAGAGCTGAAGAACATGATCCACTTAACGAGACGACTCCTCCTCGACGACGAAAACCACGTGTTCTACTCGATTTCGTCCGGTCGGTTTGACTCGCTCGACTCCGAGTACACGCCTCGAGAAGCGAATCAGGCAGCCCATTTGGTGGCACGAAATGCCTTACGTTATCCTGGCACATCCCCATCTCCCTGGGACTTTTTTTCATTTCGCACAACTTTTCGAGACCTACGCAGCGGCAAACTTCCTATTGCGTCGCTGCCCACCTAAACTGAAAAAATTCGCGAAAAAAATAAGTCGAAAAGGGGTGCAACACGAGGACTTCCCAAGAGGTCACCCATCTTAGTACTACTCTCGCCCAAGCACGTTTAACTTCGGAGTTCTGATGGGATCCGGTGCATTAGTGCAGGTACGATCGCACCCGTCAACTTCTCGTGCTCCTTTGTATATCTCCTAGCAACCCGCTTCTGGTAGGATCGGGCTTGGCGGTTTGACGGCCATAACTTTGCGCTCGGTTCTCCGATTGACGCAAACTTTTTTTTCATTTCGCACAACTTTTCGAGACCTACGCAGCGGCAAACCTCCTATTGCGTCGCTGCCCACCTAAACTGAAAAAATTCGCGAAAAAAATAAGTCGAAAAGGGGTGCAACACGAGGACTTCCCAAGAGGTCACCCATCTTAGTACTACTCTCGCCCAAGCACGTTTAACTTCGGAGTTCTGATGGGATCCGGTGCATTAGTGCTGGTATGATCGCACCCGTCAACTCCTCGTGCTCCTTTGTATATCTCCTAGCAACCCGCTTCTGGTAGGATCGGGCTTGGCGGTTTGACGGCCATAACTTTGCGCTCGGTTGTCCGATTGACGCAAACTTTTTTTTCATTTCGCACAACTTTTCGAGACCTACGCAGCGGCAAACCTCCTATTGCGTCGCTGCCCACCTAAACTGAAAAAATTCGCGAAAAAAATAAGTCGAAAAGGGGTGCAACACGAGGACTTCCCAAGAGGTCACCGATCTTAGTACTACTCTCGCCCAAGCACGTTTAACTTCGGAGTTCTGATGGGATCCGGTGCATTAGTGCTGGTATGATCGCACCCGTCAACTTCTCGTGCTCCTTTGTATATCTCCTAGCAACCCGCTTCTGGTAGGATCGGGCTTGCCGGTTTGACGGCCATAACTTTGCGCTCGGTTCTCCGATTGACGCAAACTTTTTTTTTCATTTCGCACAACTTTTCGAGACCTACGCAGCGACAAACCTCCTATTGCGTCGCTGCCCATCTAAACTGAAAAAATTCGCGAAAAAAATAAGTCGAAAAGGGGTGCAACACGAGGACTTCCCAAGAGGTCACCCATATTAGTACTACTCTCGCCCAAGCACGTTTAACTTCGGAGTTCTAATGTGATCCGGTGCATTAGTGCTGGTATGATCGCACCCGTCAACTTCTCGTGCTCCTTTGTATATCTCCTAGCAACCCGCTTCTGGTAGGATCGGGCTTGGCGGTTTGACGGCCATAACTTTGCGCTCGGTTGTCCGATTGACGCAAACATTTTTTTCATTTCGCACAACTTTTCGAGACCTACGCAGCGGCAAACCTCCTATTGCGTAGCTGCCCACCTAAACTAAAAAAATTAGCGAAAAAAATAAGTCGAAAAGGGGTGCAACACGAGGACTTCCCAAGAGGTCACCCATCTTAGTACTACTCTCGCCCAAGCACGTTTAACTTCGGAGTTCTGATGGGATCCGGTGCATTAGTGCTGGTATGATCGCACCCTTCAACTTCTCGTGCTCCTTTGTATATCACCTAGCAACCCGCTTCTGGTGGGATCGGGCTTGGCGGTTTGACGGCCATAACTTTGTGCTCGGTTGTCCGATTGACGCAAACTTTTTTTCATTTCGCACAACTTTTCGAGACCTACGCAGCGGCAAACCTCCTATTGCGTCGCTGCCCACCTAAACTGAAAAAATTCGCGGAAAAAATAAGTCGAAAAGGGGTGCAACAGGAGGACTTCCCAAGAGGTCACCCATCTTAGTACTACTCTCGCCCAAGCACGTTTTTACTTCGGAGTTCTGATGGGATCCGGTGCATTAGTGCTGGTATGATCGCACCCGTCAACTTCTCGTGCTCCTTTGTATATCTCCTAGCAACCCGCTTCTGGTAGGATCGGGCTTGGCGGTTTGACGGCCATAACTTTGCGCTCGGTTGTCTGATTGACGCAAACTTTTTTTTCATTTCGCACAACTTTTCAAGACCTACGCAGCGGCAAACCTCCTATTGCGTCGCTGCCCACCTAAACTGAAAAAATTCGCGGAAAAAATAATTCGAAAAGGGGTGCAACACGAGGAGTTCTCAAGAGGTCACCCATCTTAGTACTACTATCGCCCAAGCACGTTTAACTTCGGAGTTCTGATGGGATCCGGTGCATTAGTGCTGGTATGATCGCACCCGTCAACTTCGTACTACTCTCGCCCAAGCACGTTTAACTTCGGAGTTCTGATGGGATCCGGTGCATTAGTGCTGGTATGATCGTACCCGTCAACTTCTCGTGCTCCTTTGTATATCTCCTAGTAACCCGCTTCTGGTAGGATCGGGCTTGGCGGTTTGACGGCCATAACTTTGCGCTCGGTTGTCCGATTGACGCAAACTTTTTTTTCATTTCGCACAACTTTTCGAGACCTACGCAGCGGCAAACCTCCTATTGCGTCGCTGCCCACCTAAACTGAAAAAATTCGCGAAAAAAATAAGTCGAAAAGGGGTGCAACACGAGGACTTCCCAAGAGGTCACCGATCTTAGTACTACTCTCGCCCAAGCACGTTTAACTTCGGAGTTCTGATGGGATCCGGTGCATTAGTGCTGGTATGATCGCACCCGTCAACTTCTCGTGCTCCTTTGTATATCTCCTAGCAACCCGCTTCTGGTAGGATCGGGCTTGCCGGTTTGACGGCCATAACTTTGCGCTCGGTTCTCCGATTGACGCAAACTTTTTTTTCATTTCGCACAACTTTTCGAGACCTACGCAGCGACAAACCTCCTATTGCGTCGCTGCCCATCTAAACTGAAAAAATTCGCGAAAAAAATAAGTCGACAAGGGGTGCAACACGAGGACTTCCCAAGAGGTCACCCATCTTAGTACTACTCTCGCCCAAGCACGTTTAACTTCGGAGTTCTAATGTGATCCGGTGCATTAGTGCTGGTATGATCGCACCCGTCAACTTCTCGTGCTCCTTTGTATATCTCCTAGCAACCCGCTTCTGGTAGGATCGGGCTTGGCGGTTTGACGGCCATAACTTTGCGCTCGGTTGTCCGATTGACGCAAACATTTTTTTCATTTCGCACAACTTTTCGAGACCTACGCAGCGGCAAACCTCCTATTGCGTAGCTGGCCACCTAAACTAAAAAAATTCGCGAAAAAAATAAGTCGAAAAGGGGTGCAACACGAGGACTTCCCAAGAGGTCACCCATCTTAGTACTACTCTCGCCCAAGCACGTTTAACTTCGGAGTTCTGATGGGATCCGGTGCATTAGTGCTGGTATGATCGCACCCTTCAACTTCTCGTGCTCCTTTGTATATCACCTAGCAACCCGCTTCTGGTGGGATCTGGCTTGGCGGTTTGACGGCCATAACTTTGTGCTCGGTTGTCCGATTGACGCAAACTTTTTTTTCATTTCGCACAACTTTTCGAGACCTACGCAGCGGCAAACCTCCTATTGCGTCGCTGCCCACCTAAACTGAAAAAATTCGCGGAAAAAATAAGTCGAAAAGGGGTGCAACACGAGGACTTCCCAAGAGGTCACCCATCTTAGTACTACTCTCGCCCAAGCACGTTTTACTTCGGAGTTCTGATGGGATCCGGTGCATTAGTGCTGGTATGATCGCACCCGTCAACTTCTCGTGCTCCTTTGTATATCTCCTAGCAACCCGCTTCTGGTAGGATCGGGCTTGGCGGTTTGACGGCCATAACTTTGCGCTCGGTTGTCTGATTGACGCAAACTTTTTTTTCATTTCGCACAACTTTTCAAGACCTACGCAGCGGCAAACCTCCTATTGCGTCGCTGCCCACCTAAACTGAAAAAATTCGCGGAAAAAATAATTCGAAAAGGGGTGCAACACGAGGAGTTCTCAAGAGGTCACCCATCTTAGTACTACTATCGCCCAAGCACGTTTAACTTCGGAGTTCTGATGGGATCCGGTGCATTAGTGCTGGTATGATCGCACCCGTCAATTTCGTACTACTCTCGCCCAAGCACGTTTAACTTCGGAGTTCTGATGGGATCCGGTGCATTAGTGCTGGTATGATCGTACCCGTCAACTTCTCGTGCTCCTTTGTATATCTCCTAGCAACCCGCTTCTGGTAGGATCGGGCTTGGCGGTTTGACGGCCATAACTTTGCGCTCGGTTGTCCGATTGACGCAAACTTTTTTTTCATTTCGCACAACTTTTCGAGACCTAGGCAGCTGCAAACCTCCTATTGCGTCGCTGCCCACCTAAACTGAAAAAATTCGCGGAAAAAATAAGTCGAAAAGGGGTGCAACAAGAGGACTTCCCAAGAGGTCACCCATCTTAATACTACTCTCGCCCAAGCACGTTTAAATTCGGAGTTCTGATGGGATCCGGTGCATTAGTGCTGGTATGATCGCACCCGTCAACTTCTCGTGCTCCTTTGTATATCTCCAAGCAACCCGCTTCTGGTAGGATCGGGCTTGGCGGTTTGACGGCCATAACTTTGCGCTCGGTTGTCCGATTGATGCAAACTTTTTTTTCATTTCGCACAACTTTTCGAGACCTACGCAGCGGCAAACCTCCTATTGCGTCGCTGCCCACCTAAACTGAAAAAATTTGCGGAAAAAATAAGTCGAAAAGGGGTGCAACACGAGGACTTCCCAAGAGGTCACCCATCTTAGTACTACTCTCGCCCAAGCACGTTTAACTTCGGAGTTCTGATGGGATCCGGTGCATTAGTGCTGGTATGATCGCACCCGTCAACTTCTCGTGCTCCTTTGTATATCTCCTAGCAACCCGCTTCTGGTAGGATCGGGCTTGGCGGTTTGACGGCCATAACTTTGCGCTTGGTTGTCCGATTGACGCAAATTTTTTTTTTCATTTCGCACAACTTTTCGAGACCTACGCAGCGGCAAACCTCCTATTGCGTCGCTGCCCACCTAAACTGAAAAAATTCGCGGAAAAAATAAGTCGAAAAGGGGTGCAACACGAGGACTTCCCAAGAGGTCACCCATCTTAGTACTACTCTCGCCCAAGCACGTTTAACTTCGGAGTTCTGATGGGATCCGGTGCATTAGTGCTGGTATGATCGCACCCGTCAACTTCGTACTACTCTCGCCCAAGCACGTTTAACTTCGGAGTTCTGATGGGATCCGGTGCATTAGTGCTGGTATGATCGCACCCGTCAACTTCTCGTGCTCCTTTGTATATCTCCTAGCAACCCGCTTCTGGTAGGATCGGGCTTGGCGGTTTGACGGCCATAACTTTGCGCTCGGTTGTCCGATTGACGCAAACTTTTTTTTCATTTTGCACAACTTTTTGAGACCTACGCAGCGGCAAACCTCCTATTGCGTCGCTGCCCACCTAAACTGAAAAAATTCGCGAAAAAAATAAGTCGAAAAGGGGTGCAACACGAGGACTTCCCAAGAGGTCCGTCAACTTCGTACTACTCTCGCCCAAGCACGTTTAACTTCGCAGTTCTGATGGGATCCGGTGCATTAGTGCTGGTATGATCGCACCCGTCAACTTCTCGTGCTCCTTTGTATATCTCCTAGCAACCCGCTTCTGGTAGGATCGGGCTTGGCGGTTTGACGGCCATAACTTTGCGCTCGGTTGTCCGATTGACGCAAACTTTTTTTTCATTTCGCACAACTTTTCGAGACCTACGCAGCGGCAAACCTCCTATTGCGTCGCTGGCCACCTAAACTGAAAAAATTCGCGGAAAAAATAAGTCCAAAAGGGGTGCAACACGAGGACTTCCCAAGAGGTAACCCATCTTAGTACTACTCACGCCCAAGCACGTTTAACTTCGGAGTTCTGATGGGATCCGGTGCATTAGTGCTGGTATGATCGCACACGTCAACTTCGTACTACTCTCGCCCAAGCACGTTTAACTTCGGAGTTCTGATGGGATCTGGTGCATTAGTGCTGGTATGATCGCACCCGTCAACTTCTCGTGCTCCTTTGTATATCTCCTAGCAACCCGCTTCTGGTAGGATCGGGCTTGGCGGTTTGACGGCCATACCTTTGCGCTCGGTTGTCCGATTGACGCAAACTTTTTTTTCATTTCGCACAACTTTTCGAGACCTACGCAGCGGCAAACCTCCTATTGCGTCGCTGCCCACCTAAACTGAAAAAATTCGCGGAAAAAATAAGTCGAAAAGGGGTGCAACACGAGGACTTCCCAAGAAGTCACCCATCTTAGTACTACTCTCGCCCAAGCACGTTTGACATCGGAGTTCTGATGGGATCCGGTGCATTAGTGCTGGTATGATCGCACCCGTCAACTTCGTACTACTCTCGCCCAAGCACGTTTAACTTCGGAGTTCTGATGGGATCCGGTGCATTAGTGCTGGTATGATCGCACCCGTCAACTTCTCTTGCTCCTTTGTATATCTCCTAGCAACCCGCTTCTGGTAGGATCGGGCTAGGCGGTTTGACGGCCATTACTTTGCGCTCGGTTGTCCGATTGACGCAAACTTTTTTTTCATTTCGCACAACTTTTCGAGACCTACGCAGCGGCAAACCTCCTATTGCGTCGCTGCCCACCTAAACTGAAAAAATTCGCGGAAAAAATAAGTCGAAAAGGGGTGCAACACGAGGACTTCCCAAGAGGTCACCCATCTTAGTACTACTCTCGCCCAAGCAAGTTTAACTTCGGAGTTCTGATGGGATCCCGTGCATTAGTGCTGGTATGATCGCACCCGTCAACTTCTCGTGCTCCTTTGTATATCTCCTAGCAACCCGCTTCTGGTAGGATAGGGCTTGGCGGTTTGACGGCCATAACTTTGCGCTCGGTTGTCCGATTGACGCAAACTTTTTTTTCATTTCGCACAACTTTTCGAGACCTACGCAGCGGCAAACCTCCTATTGCGTCGCTGGCCACCTAAACTGAAAAAATTCGCGGAAAAAATAAGTCCAATAGGGGTGCAACACGAGGACTTCCCAAGAGGTCACCCATCTTAGTACTACTCACGCCCAAGCACGTTTAACTTCGGAGTTCTGATGGGATCCGGTGCATTAGTGCTGGTATGATCGCACCCGTCAACTTCGTACTACTCTCGCCCAAGCACGTTTAACTTCGGAGTTCTGATGGGATCTGGTGCATTAGTGCTGGTATGATCGCACCCGTCAACTTCTCGTGCTCCTTTGTATATCTCCTAGCAACCCGCTTCTGGTAGGATCGGGCTTGGCGGTTTGACGGCCATACCTTTGCGCTCGGTTGTCCGATTGACGCAAACTTTTTTTTCATTTCGCACAACTTTTCGAGACCTACGCAGCGGCAAACCTCCTATTGCGTCGCTGCCCACCTAAAATGAAAAAATTCGCGGAAAAAATAAGTCGAAAAGGGGTGCAACACGAGGACTTCCCAAGAAGTCACCCATCTTAGTACTACTCTCGCCCAAGCACGTTTGACATCGGAGTTCTGATGGGATCCGGTGCATTAGTGCTGGTATGATCGCACCCGTCAACTTCGTACTACTCTCGCCCAAGCACGTTTAACTTCGGAGTTCTGATGGGATCCGGTGCATTAGTGCTGGTATGATCGCACCCGTCAACTTCTCGTGCTCCTTTGTATATCTCCTAGCAACCCGCTTCTGGTAGGATCGGGCTAGGCGGTTTGACGGCCATTACTTTGCGCTCGGTTGTCCGATTGACGCAAACTTTTTTTTCATTTCGCACAACTTTTCGAGACCTACGCAGCGGCAAACCTCCTATTGCGTCGCTGCCCACCTAAACTGAAAAAACTCGCGGAAAAAATAAGTCGAAAAGGGGTGCAACACGAGGACTTCCCAAGAGGTCCGTCAACTTCGTACTACTCTCGCCCAAGCACGTTTAACTTCGGAGTTCTGATGGGATCCGGTGCATTAGTGCTGGTATGATCGCACCCGTCAACTTCTCGTGCTCCTTTGTATATCTCCTAGCAACCCGCTTCTGGTAGGATCGGGCTAGGCGGTTTGACGGCCATTACTTTGCGCTCGGTTGTCCGATTGACGCAAACTTTTTTTTCATTTCGCACAACTTTTTGAGACCTACGCAGCGGCAAACCTCCTATTGCGTCGCTGCCCACCTAAACTGAAAAAATTCGCGGAAAAAATAAGTTGAAAAGGGGTGCAACACGAGGACTTCCCAAGAGGTCACCAATCTTAGTACTACTCTCGCCCAAGCACGTTTAACTTCGGAGTTCTGATGGGATCCCGTGCATTAGTGCTGGTATGATCGCACCCGTCAACTTCTCGTGCTCCTTTGTATATCTCCTAGCAACCCGCTTCTGGTAGGATCGGGCTTGGCGGTTTGACGGCCATAACTTTGCGCTCGGTTGTCCGATTGACGCAAACTTTTTTTTTATTTCGCACAACTTTTCGAGACCTACGCAGCGGCAAACCTCTTATTGCGTCGCTGCCCACCTAAACTGAAAATATTCGCGGAAAAAATAAGTCGAAAAGGGGTGCAACACGAGGACTTCCCAAGAGGTCACCCATCTTAGTACTACTCTCGCCCAAGCACGTTTAACTTCGGAGTTCTGATGGGATCCGGTGCATTAGTGCTGGTATGATCGCACCCGTCAACTTCTCGTGCTCCTTTGTATATCTCCTAGCAACCCGCTTCTGGTAGGATCGGGCTTGGCGGTTTGACGGCCATAACTTTGCGCTCGGTTGTCCGATTGACGCAAACTTTTTTTTCATTACGCACAACTTTTCGAGACCTACGCAGCGGCAAACCTCCTATTGCGTCGCTGCCCACCTAAACTGAAAAAATTCGCGGAAAAAATAAGTCGAAAAGGGGTGCAACACGAGGACTTCCCAAGAGGTCCGTCAACTTCGTACTACTCTCGCCCAAGCA